AAATTCGTTCTTGAGATGTTTTTGAAATTCAGGTGGAGTAGGGACAAGGTTGTATTTTGGTTCTTATTGACTTGTTTTAAATTCCTTCAGCTTCATCTTGAACTTACATCTGATCAATTGATGGTCTATGCCATTATCAGCCCCTGGCCGGTTTGAATTGCTGATATTGAGCTTCTCCAATGTCTCTTGTCACAAATATAGTCAGTTTGATTTCTGTGTCTTCCACCTGGAGAAGACAATGTGTATAGTTGCCATTTGAGTTGAAAATGTGTTTGCTTTGAAAAAGTCATGGTCATGAAAAATCATTTATTTGATATCTAGCTTCCAACTAGATATGTTCCAACGACTTTCCCTTCCTCTTCGTTCCCAACTTTTGCAATCCGTCACCAACAATTATCCATTCATTGTGATTGCTCGTTTGATCAAATTTCTGATGGAAGGCATTGGTAGAATTTTTCAATTTCTTCAACCCTCGCTTTTGATTGGTGACAAATATGAATAGTAATTGTATTGATTGAATTTCCTTGAAGGGGGATAGATAACACCCTATCACAGACAGCAAAGTACTTCAAGCTAAATCTTGTAATGCCTTTTTTGACAATGAATGCAATGCCGTGCCTCTGAATATTTGTTCTCAGAATAGCAATCCATATGACGTTATGATTAAAAATGGCCAGGAGCAGTCAATTCCAGCTCACGAATGACTAGGATATTGATCTTTAATTTTTCTATTTCATTTTTGCTGACTTCCAATGTACCCAGATTCATACTTTGTACATTCCAAAAACTGACTATTGGGATACTTCTCTAGCTTTATCTTCTTACTTTTAACTGTGCCTCATCAGCTAATAAGGATGCCCCAAGCTGTGCTCTCGCTTACTTTCCTCAGTTCAAGCCCCTGGTGGACTGGAATTGAGGAAGCTGCTCCACCTCAGTCACATTTGCATCTTTCCTGCTCTCGGGGCTCGTCCTCCAGCGCTGTCTCTGACAGTGTTCTGCCTCCACTCACAGCCCTTCGGTAGCAGCGGACGCTGCTTCCGTGCTACGCAGAAGTGTCAGCTTCTCTGAAAGGAGCAGCGTATTCCTTCTTTATTTGCTGTTCTTCATTTGAAGCCGCAGCTTAAATCTGTTCACCTTGGGTGACCTTGCTGACATTTGAAATACCAGTGATATAGTTTTCGGCTTCACAGCAACACCCAAGCCACCACAGAATGACAAACTGACAGACAAGCAGTGGAAGTGTTGTACATGGATGGCAATGTCAACCTGAATTTGTATGAAAGTGGAGGGATGGAGCCCAACCTGTCATTCAGGGCGCAGCCTGATGATGCCTCCTTGGAGGTAAGGTCATTTTATAAGGGAGAAAGTGGGAACTCCTCCCTCTCTCGCAGCCATGTCACCTTCCTCCTAGCCAAGACTACACTTGAACTCTGTCCGCTTCCAGGGGCAGGTCCCACATGGGCTGCTGGGACCATGAGAATGGTCAGGGCCCTCCTATATTTCCACCTACCTTGGATCCACGGGACCCTGCACCCACCGGCTTCCTGCATCTCGCTTCACCTGTCTGCAGCATTGGCTTGCAGCATTGTGTGTCTGAACAGACCCCCCTCCCCACCTACCCTCCCGATAGCATCTAACTTATGGATATGAGATGGACTGGGCTGGGATGCCTTCGTGTTATGATCGCTTCTCAACATAATGTTCTTTCTTATAGATGAATGTTACTGATTTTATTTCTAAAGACAGCCCAGCCAAACACAAGGAAGAGGAAATCCTTGAGAACTTCTATCTTTTCTCTTCTTTTCATGATGTTCTCTATTGGTCCAGTTGTGAAAATTTTGGTTTTCTGTACATTGAGCTATACGCCATATTGAATGCTGTAATCCCTGATCTTCAACAGGAAGTGTTTCAAGACCTCATCACTATCAGTATCAACGTTGTGTCATCTGCATGTCTAAAGTTGTTAATAAGCCTTGCTCCAATTCTGATGCCACATGCCTCTTTATATAATCCACCTTCTCTGCTCATTTGCTCAATGTCCAGGTTGAAGAAGTGTGGTCAAAGAATACAACACTGCTGCACACCTTTCCTGATTTTAAACCATGCAGTATTGCCTTGTTCTGTGCCAACAAGTGCTTCTTGATCCACGTAGAAGTTCTGCATGAGCACAGAATTTCCATTCTTCTCAGCTATCTATAGTTGGTAATGATCCACATAACTGAATGTCTTTGCATAATCAATAGAACCCAAGTAAACATTTTTCTGGTATTCTTTACTTTGAACCAAGATACTTCTGACATGAGCAATGATATACCTTGTTCCACATCCTCTTATGAATCTGGTTTGAATTTCTGGTAGCTCTCTGTCGATATACTGTTGTAACCATTATGGTATGATCTTCAGCAAAATTCCACTTGTGTGCAATATTACTGACATTGCTATTATTTTTCATATAACATGGGGGTCACCTTTCTTTGAACTGGGTGCAAATACAGATGTTTTACAGTTAGTCTGCCAGGTGCTTGTTTTCCAAACTCCCTGGCATAGACTAGTGAGTGCTTCCAGTGATTCCTCAGGGTATGGATGCATTTCGATTGGTACTCTGTCAATTCCTGGAGCTTTGTTATTCAATAATACCTTCAATGTGGTTTGGACTTCTTCCATCGGTACCATTTGTTCTTAATCATACACTATCTCTTGAAATGCTTGAAGGCTATTTTTGTTTTGTTTTTTATGTAGTCGCTCTGTGTGTTCCACCCATCTTTTTTGATGCATCTTGCACCATCAAGTCGTTCGCCCATTGAAATATTCAGTACTGCAACTCAATGCTGCATGCTTTCGTTAGTTCTTTCAGCTTGATATATGCTGAGCATGTCCTTCTGTGTTGGCTTGCAAACTCCTGGCCTTTGCACATTTTATTATTATACACTTTGTCTTTTCCAGTTGCCTTTGACATTTTCTGTTGAAAATTTTCATTTCCTCATTTCTTTCATTTGCCTTTGCTACTCTATGATCAAGAGCAACTTCAGAGCCTCTTCTGACATCCACTTTGATCTTTTCTTTCTTCCCTGTTTTTCTGAATGATCTTTGGCTTGCTTTATGTATGATCTTGATGTCCTCCCACAGCCTCTCCAGTCTTCTGTCATTAGTGTCCAATGAGTGAAATCTATTCTTGACATATTTTCTGTATTAAGTTGGAATATACTCAACGTCATATTTTAGCTTTCTTGGACTTGTTTTAATTTTCTTCGTTTTGAACCTAAACGTACATGTAAACAATTAGTTGATGGTCTGTTCCACAGTGGTTTCTTATACTCCTTTCGGCTGAGGATGTTGAACTTGCCCACTGTGTCTTCTGGCAGGTATAGTCACTGATTCCCATGCAGTCCATCTGGAGAAGTCCCTATGCATCATTGCCATCTATATTGTTGAGAAAGAAGTATTTGTGATGAAATGCTTTCAGTAAATGATGCAGCCATGGAAGCACTCACTTGTGTATGCCAAGACATTGAGATAACAGCTGATGCACTGGGGACTCACGGCCAAGAAACAAACTATAAATAGTTGCTGTCAGGAGGGTGCTGACTCAGAGGTGCGACCCTATAACAGAGGGCAGAACAGCCTCTGTGAGTTTCCAAACTGTGACTCTTTACAGGAGTTGAAAGCCAAGGCTTTTTCCCATGGAGTGGCTAGTGGTTTCAAACGCTTGACCTTACAGTGAGCAGCCCAATGCATAGCCACTACCCTACCAGGGTTCCTAGGGACAGGAGGAACCAGGGTTCCATAGAGGCTAATTAAAGAGGATGGAAGACAAAATATAGCATCACAAAACCATGATTGGCAGGACTACAGAAGTAGGATAAGGACCATGGGATATACACATGATTGCAGATTTTAATTGTTACCTAGAAATATTATGTTATGGGTATGTATGACTCATGGTCATACAGCAGTGAGTCATAGCTACTAGCATCCCAGTTTTCAGATAACATATGGTCATGTCCAGTCAATCATTAAGAACATGCCCGGCAAGACCCCTGATTGCCCATGCAAACCTGAGGGCAAGGCCACACCACCCTAGAATAGCCTGAGAGTGGTAATCTTTTATCGAACATACTGCCTGCAGAGAATAAAACTGATGCTTCGGTGGTTACTGAGCAGAAAGAAGTCAAATGGAGGCTGAGTGTATGCCAAGATTCAGAATGGAGTTACGGGCTCATAGAATTCCACAAACCAAATAATTTTAAATGTAAGCTCTTGTTTATTTATTTTTGTAGCTATTGTTATTGCAACAAAGGGCTCAAAGGTAACAGCTTTGAAGCTAATGCACAGCCAGGCAGTATTTTGTTCTCTTTGACTCAATGCCACATAACAACACATTGTTGGGCTCATAAGAGGAGGTAGGTATTGATTTCATAGTTTGGAGGAAAAACAATTCCAGTCCAAATTTTAAAAAATTATTTAAAACAATTTTTCAAAAGCATGTAAGTCATTTCAACTATGAGATTAATTTATTAGTGAGAAATATTATTTTAATGTTTCGGTTGTTTCCTTCCCATCTTTCCCTCTAATTCTTCTTTATGGCAAACCTTTGACTTGGTAGTTAGAGTCCATCTAGAGTTCACTGCCATGCACTGGATTCTGACTCAGAGTAGCTCTCTAGGACAGAGCTGAATTGTCCCAGGGTCTTCAGGCTGAACTCTTCACAGACATAGATGGACACATCTTTTCCTGCAGACTGGCTGGTGGGTTTGAACTGCCAGCCTTTTTGTTAGCTGTTCAGTGCTTAACCCATTGCAGCGACAATCACCTGATAATCACCTATGGCTGTTTCATGCTCTTTGTCAAGTTGTCTGTGGGGTTTGAAGTCTACATTGCTTCCACCTCTAGAGCTCTCTTGGATAGATACTTTTGGATACATACATAGCATGTGTGTTTTCTGCTGTCTTTTAGAATACTTCTTCACAACTTCTAATCACTTCTCTTTTTCTTTCCCGTAGTGTAATCTGTGTGTTTGGAAAGAACCTAAACAGTAGGTAGCATGATGATAAATGGGAAAAACAAGCCAAAACCACACTGTCATCCTGCTGGAATCCACAATCAAGGGTCAGGAAAGCAGCAGTCAAGAGATCCAAGGGTGTTTGACCTTGGGGAAATTGGCGCAAAACGTATATGAAGCGTGGAAAAGCTTGGGCGTACTTTAAGGACTCAGGTGCACCTGACTCAGGCCATGATCTTTTCCATGGCCGCATATGAATGTGGAAGTTGGACATTGAAGAGGAAGACTGACGAAGAATCCATGCATTTGGCTTGTGGTGCTGGGGAAAAATATCGACAGTACCCTGGACTGCCAACAAACAACAACAACCACAAAAAAGCAGTCTTGGAAGAAGGCCATAATGCTCCTGTGAGGCAAGGATGGTGAGACTTTGTCTCGCATGCTTTGGCCATGTTGTCAGGAGAGCGCAGTCCCTGGGGAAGGACCTCCGCTTGGGAAAGCAGAGGGCAGTGGACAAGAGGAAGGCCTCAGCAGGATGGGTTGGCAGCGCGGCTGCATTGAGAGGCTCGAGCATAATGTGAGCATGGGACAGGACCGGACAGTTGTACACAGGGTTGCTGGGAGCTATTGTATATAAGGTTGCTAGGAGCCAGGACCAAACAACAACAACAAACACATTTTTGAATAAGTTTGGGCTCAGTAAGGGACTATACTTAATCCATTTTCTTGATTTAATCTCCTTTCCAATCCTTCTGCCATCTTGGAATTTACATAGAGAAACTTGTAGGATGATAATTCAGACTAAATGTGAACACTTGAGAGGCTAAATGATTTTAAACAAACAAATCCTGACATAGAATGAGCTTCAGCCTCTTCTAGTCTTCCTGCTGCTCTAGTGAAGATCCAGACCGTTGGGCTCGAACATCGACAATCATGGCTGCTGAGGCTGCAGTTCTTGAACTATGGGGTGGTGTCAGTTCCATTTCAACATTTAGCTTTTAACCCATTTTGCAATTGGTGCGTTTGTTTCTGATTCTGTTTTCGAAAGGAACGGGGGTAGAGGTGGGGTTCGACACTGTGGAATATTTAAGGGTGGCCTTTATCATCAGAAGACTGAAAAGAGAGAAAGAACCCTGATGGCATTCCTAAGATAATCTTTGGCTCTCTCCCAATACTTTCTTTATTCCCAGCCTTTGTATGAGCTCTCTTCCAGAGGTTCACAACCACATGCCACCCTCACATTCCAGAACCCATTCACAGCCTGTCTTCCAATAAATATGTCCCAAGCAGTCCAAAAAGTATAATCTTTTTCTCTGAATCAAATAGAATAGAAATTCCCACTGGTGCAACAGACCTAGCTAAACATTACAGAATTCCTTACAGTTGACTAGAAATTCCCCTTGTCGTTGTGGAGAGTGTAGAGTAAATCTCCAGTAAGTGTGTTGCATTGATGTCAGGCGTTCTTATCCTAACTCACCCCTTACTGGCATGTGGCATGCAAATGTGTCCATGTCATTCCCCCCTCCCTCCTTCATCTGCGATTCCGCATGTCCTTTCTATAGAAACAATAGGGTGCAATTTAAAACTAGGCCACAAACCCTGTCTTGGGTACCAATTGGGTGGTTTTCAAATTAGTGAGAGTCTTGATGAATTTTTCACTGCTCTGTGGCATAATTTGGAAAAAGAAGGTATGATGTATTTTTATAAAACTGAATTGATTCTGTTCCCAGAATAATAATTTAGTTTGTGGTTCATGTTTTGTTTCAATGAAATGAAGACTGTAGTGCAAATTAGCTTTATTTTAATTTCTTGATCTTAACAAATCAGCCTCCTTAATTATAGAACTCCCAATTAAAAAAAAAATTATAGAAGGCCAAAGCCTCATAGTACAATAAGCTCTTTGGGAGAAAAAAATCCTTGTCTTACTGTGTGTTCTATCACTACTTTATAGCAGCGTGCTTATCATAGCGCCCCCTGGTGAACCAGACTGGAGCCTTTTAGTATTGACCTGAGAATTTGTGCTGTGCTTGATTGGTGTCAAATTCCAAATGGAAACAGTACTGGTAGAAAGCAGGCTATAACACTGATGGAAATCAGATCATACACATACCACAGCACGTGAATTATATGAGATAGTACGTTACATGTGTAATTTTAAAAGGCTTTCTAAGTCTTCAGCCTTCCCACTGGTGTAAAGTACTATCTCACATAAGTCACGTGCTGTGGTATGTATAGGATCTGATTTCCATCAGTGCTTTAGCCTGCTTCCTATTAGTACTGTTTCCATTTGGAATTTGACAGGGAATTTGTTCCCTTGGGTCCAGAGAGTCCGCAATATAACCTACGTCTTCAGCCTTCCCATGTCTCCATCTCTTCATCTCTGGAAAACCACGCCTCAGGGCATGTTAAAAACTTCTTACCCTCTTCCTAAACCAGGTCCCAGTCACCAAAATTGCATGTCCTCTTCAGCATTCCATTTGACTAGTTTCTTATCTATCGTTATATGTAAATTGTGCTAAATTTAACTAAGTAGACAAGGGGGCCTAATTTAAAATTCCCATGGCTCATTAGTCACATCCTATAGTGTTGGGAGTACTTTTTCAGATGTTGTCTTGTCTTGGAATGTTGAAACGATACATGTCTTGTTGGTAATATTTTCTCCCCCTGTAAGTTAGCAAGTGACTGAGCAGAATGCCTGTGTGTCTGTGCTTTAATTATCTGGTGCTGCTCAAACAGAAGTACGTCAAGGATGTGGCTTGGACACACATGACTGCATTTTCTGACAGTTTCGGTGGAGGGCACAGTGAACAGGGAAGTCCTGCTCTCTGGCTCAGTCCTAGGGGAAGGTCAGTGTCTTCTCAGGCTGGATTTCCCGGCTCTTTGGAGAGCTCCGTGTGGTTTCGCATCAGTCTCCTCCCATCTGCCTCTTTGGGTGGTTGTTGGATCTCTTTCTGGCTCAAAGAGGTTGACTCAAGGTAAATCTTAGACTGAGCCTGCCTCTAGAACAAAAAAAGGGTGACCCCTTCCTGAATGGGATTATAACCATGGGCATAGAAGTTAGGATGTGCACTTATTTGAAGGGACATAATACATAACAGGGCGCACCTATGTATATTTTATTCTGTATTTATTAGAGCTTTTGTTTCCTAAAACTAATTTGATAGTTCCCCCATATAATTGAACTTTTTTCAATTGAATTTTCCTTGCAATACCCTCTAAAAGGAAATTTTGTTCTACCCCGTTGGAACCTAGACTCCATAACACGTGAGATTTTTCTTTTTCTGATCATGTACATACCATTTTCCCCTCCATTTCGGCAAGTTTCTCAGAGGAACAAACAATTCTCACTTATGAATCACCTTAATCCAAGTGATTAAGTTGTCCTTTGCCCAATTTGTTGGTAGTTTTCTCCGAGTGCAAACAAGAGCCCGATCCTCTCAGTACCCTCTATCCTACCCCATTGAGAACACATGACAGGGATTATGCTTCAAGTGAACTGTCAGAGGAAGGGGACAGAATAAACCTGTGACTGCTAGAATGATGGGAAATATATCCAGTTTATTTATGCAATGCTTTAATGAATGGCAAGGATATTTGGTATAGGCTAATATTGGTGGATAAAATATTGAAAGTTCAGACATGATTATGCTGTCAGTTGTGGTTGAGTAAAAATGCATCTATGCAAATTCCTGCCAGTAGGGTAATTGACTTTTGATCACTAGACACAGAAAGAGCAGGAACGCCTGCATGCCTGCTCAGGGGAAGGATGGTGCCTCAGTTCCTGTACAATGCAGGCAGAGGGTCTCGGGAGTTGAGACCTTGAGATCAACCTTCTACTTTATGGACCCTCCAGCTACATATCAGGCACTTTATTTCATTTTAAATACTATTGCTGATGGTCTTATATACTATGGCACAGGGACTCCTGGTGACTGCTAGGTCTTTATTAGACTGTGTCTTTCGTACTCCTTGGCCAGGAGGATGGATTTAGACTTACTCTCAGCCAGACACATATGTGCTGCTACAACACATTTATCACTGGCAGGATATAGTTGAAGACACCATCTGGGGCCCTATCTAACCTCACTTGGCCACATAAGGGAGAAGGGGAATTCTATTCCACACCAGTTCAAGACTGACTTTCACAAGGCATAGGTCAGATACACCTCCGCTCTCCAACCTGTTTTACCCTATTCTGACCCCAACCCTTCCTTCCAGGGCAGTCTACTTCTCTGGTGGGTTTAATAACCTATTGCAATGGCCACAAAATACTCATAGACCATACTCAAGATTCATTAGAAATATATCTTAATAAGTTAGGGGCTTACTAGGAAAAGTAACAGGTTATAAAATGGTAAGATGCTGTTCTTTTGTTTACAGAGTCTTTTCTCAGCCACGTTGGCAAACACAGCTCTGTCTGGTCCTTGGGCTCTTTCTTACTCTGGCAAGTGTTACAAAGTGCCTTTAAATGCCTATACAACCCAACATGCATCCCACTGTGCAAACCAGCCTCCTGTCCAAAGGTAGTCAACTCTGTTTGTTTTGTGATGTGGAAGGCTGGCACTCGGTCTCATGGTCTCTACTGCCACCTGGCTCCTTCTTCCTGATTTCTGCTGCCTCATCTTCACACAGGTTATACACCGTCTCCTTCTGCTGTGGGATTCTCTTATTCCTGCTTCTGATGTGGCTCACTTTACACCCATAGAACTGGTGAAACTGACCAATTAGGCTAGAGTCCTCTCCATCTTGTTTGCATGCTCACACCAAGTCATTTTGAGGGTATTTGAAAAGATTATGGAAAGAGGATCCATACCCAAGTGATTTCACTTGATTGCAACATTCATGGCCACATTTTAAATATGCATTTATTTTCTATGTGATATACACTCTTTAATCATTAAACATATTTACCAATACTGTTGTCTTCTAATTCTTATTTATACGGTTGTCTTTGATAACATACAGCAAAGCATTCACCCATTCAACGATGTCTACTCATACAGTTTAGTGACATGGATTACAATGTTCAAGTAGTGCAGCCGTTGTCCTTTAATGAGTTACTCTTTCCTCATTAGCATAAACTCATCGCCTCCTAAGGGCTTATCTTTTGAATTGCTGTTGTCAATCTGATCCCATAAAGATAGTTCTTTAAAAATGAAAACATATGCTCAGACATACCTTTTTACTGTTAAGCTAAACTGTTGTTTGGTTAAGAAGAATGCATGATAAAATTTTGGCTTAAGGTTTAAAGACAATTTCAGGACAATAATTTAATGGGTGGATACACCTTCCAT